GTTAGTTATTATTTCATGGAGAGTACAGGATAAGAAAAAATAAACAATACCTCGATTGAATACCTCTGCAAGCGCAATTGGTCATGTACGTCTGCTCCCCTCATGCCGTCTTGATACACTTTTACCAGTTCTGGCCCAGGGACATTGACAACCTCAGCTCCCGCTCGGCGAGACATAGTTGCAGGAAGAGTACTGCACCCTGTGGCAATGAAATACACGGGGCGGTTGTCCACCCAGGATACAGCTATCATTCTCGGTTCTGCCTTTGACTGAGTGATGCGGTAGGATCCTCGCTCCATGGACTTCGGCCGGTGCGCTTGCTTGTACGGGATAGTTTTACAGTACCCCCTTCGGTTGGTTTGAATAATGCAAACATGGAAGAGGGCGCGTTGTAGCAAAATGGACGATAGAAGCACACTTGAGTAGAAACGGTCGGTGATAATCAGCCTTCTTTTTGGTAATTCTTCTAGAACGTCCTCCACATTGCGAAGACCAGCATTGGGTCGTTGGTTCAAGTCTGCACTATCACTGTTCAGCCTGCCTTGATAAATTTCTGCCCAGTACAGGATAATGCACACAAATGTCAGCCGCTATCCAGTATTGTACAGACTACCGAAAGCTCATTCCTGTAGCAGTAGCCACTGTCGGCATCACACGACAAGAAGCATTTCGTACCCCACGGGTGGGGCTTTCCGCGGAGGTACTGACGCATCGGGTTGTACTTACTTCTCATCGGTATTATCCCTTCGTCAAAAACAATCCGCTGACCGACAGGCATTTCCAGTGTGAACGTCATATTGATTATGTCAGCAATTGGTTTGACCTTCCACGTCTTGTACCGGAGCGCATCCGGTGATTCGTTGTGGCTAAAATGAAGAAAGCGAACAACTTCCTCAAAACGCTTTCTTGACCTATAATGTCCGAATGTTCCTTTCAGAACCGCACCTTGGGTATCTACCGCCCAGTGTTTCGCTAGCTTTTCTCGATGCGGGCACGGCGCACGCGCGCATAGCAAACCAATAAAGCTGACCAATTCGTGGGGCTGAGTGGGCTTGAACGCTCTCTGCTCCTTCTGAATTTGCTGCAAACTCTTAATCTTGTACACCGGTCGCCTTTGGTTGATGCGTTTCTGTCGAGTCATAATGACATCCGCCGCCTGCGTGCGATACTGGAGTTGATACCGATTGCACTCTGAGGCAATAGATACCCACATCTTCTTAGAAAGAAAGAGAAAGAAAAATCCCTCTAAATCGTTACCCAGCGCTTGCAGTATCTGGGTAGGAGCCGCAGTGCATTGCGTAAGCTCGGCAGCAGGCATTTGTAGCGAAGTACCTACAGCGCATCAAGTTTACTTAGTGTCTAATACAGAATAAGTGATGAATCAAGTGAAACAGTAACCTGTATCATACAACACAAGACTTACAATCTTCTTCAAAGTAGGTTGTCCAGCTACGCTTCGCATGATCACGCAATTGCTCTTTGCTCATCTTGTCGAATGGTGTACTTACGGAGAGATCAACAGGAT